TTAAAGTCCTCATATGAGTGAAGTCATATGATATTTGTCTTTCTCTGACTGACTACTTTCACTTAGCATAGTACCCTCTAGTTCCATCCACGTAGTTGCAAATGGCAAGATTTCATTCTTTTTGATTACCGAGTAATACTCCATTGTATATATGTACCACATCTTCTTTATCCATTTATCCATCGATGGACATTTGGGCTCTTTCCATACTTTGGCTATTGTTGATAGTGCTACTATAAACATAGGGGTGCATGTGCCCCTTTAAAACAGCACACCTGTATCCCTTGGATAAATACCTAGCAGTGCTATTGCTGGGTCGTAGGGTAGTTCTATTTTTAATTTTTCTGAGGAACCTCCATACTGTTTTCCTGAGTGGCTGCATCAGTTTGCATTCCCACCAGCCGTGCAAAAGAGAGCCTCTTTATCTGCATCCTCATCAACATCTGTTGTTGCCTGAATTGTTAATGTTAACCATTCTGACAGGTGTGAGGTGGTATCTCATTGTGGTTTTAAAGCATTATTTTTTTATGTTTATTTATTAGTTTTTCTGAACTTTTATTTTTATTTATTTTGAGAGAGAAAGAGGGAGAGAGAGTGTGTGCATGAGTGGGGGCGGGTAGAGAAAGAGGGGGACAGAGGATCCCAAGCGGGCTCTGTGCTGACAGCAGCCAGCTCAATGTGGGGCTCGAACTCACGAACCGGGAGATCATGATCTGAGCCAAAGCCGGACGCTCAACTGACTGAGCCACCCAGGCTCAGTCAAAATGGCATTCTTAATGCAATGATGGTCAAAAGTGTACCACCTCATAGTTTCTGCAGCACTTGGTTAGAGGAGTGCTGCCTCTGTTACTGCAGGGCAGGCATGACCCACAGGGCTTGGTCCCACTGTCTTGTCCAGACCCAGCAATCAGGGGGATGGGTGTGGCTTTTTTCATGGTGTCTACCTGGAGTAGGACAGGAACAGTCAGACAGGTTTTGTCCTGCAGGGTCTCCCTTTTCTCATTCCTTTGGCTACTGAAAGCAGGTTTCTCTTGCACTGAAGCCTGGATACACAAGAGGCACAATAAAAACCTCAGGAAATGGGTGTCTGGATGGCTCAGTCCACTCAGTGAGAGTCTGACTCTTGATTTTGGCTCCGGTCACGATCCCAGGGTTGTGGGATGGAGCCCTGTGCTCTGCACTGAGTATGGAGCCTGCTTGGGATTCTCAGTCTCTTTCTTCCTCTGCCCCTCTCCCCTATGTCCATACTCTTTGTCTCTAAAATAAAAACAATTAAAAAAACATTAAAAAAAAAAAAACCAACACAAAGACCTCAGGAAACTCACGGCTAGGTCATTTTTCAGTCTTAAAGTGCCTAGGCCACTTTCTTTTCTCCACCTTTCAGAGTCTTCTGATAGGTGCCTTACGTATTTCAACCAGGAATTTTAGTTCTAAATAGTGGGAGGAATAGGGTAAAGTACATTTACTCCAGAAGCAGAAGTTTGGTTCATATCTCTTTTAACCTTCCTGTTTAATCTGTGCAGAAGACATAATTTTAGAAATTGATAATGGATTATGAAAATTTATGCAGGTAGTAATTCCAATTGGAGCTGCTCCTACTGATTACTAGAACAAATTAACATAGCTCCTTACAACTGATATGTGGCTGTTAATCTGTATTTTTCCTCTATACAATTGGTACAGACCACCAGAAAGACTTAATTTCACCTGTCAACAGAAGCAGTACACCTGCCTATCTTACCACAGGGCTGTGTCGGCTTTTCAACTCTCTGCCATGCTCTAATCTGCCAGGACCTTGGACTGTCTTGCCTTCCCATAGGAAAAGACACTTGAAGAACCTGGTGAACTGAATGCAGCAAATTTGCTTGATGCTTGGTAAGACACATATCAGAGTGGGAGATAAACCTCACGAAGATTCAGGAATCCACTACCTCAGTTAAGTTCCTAATGTTCTAGTGGTCTTAGTCATGTTGAGCTATACACTTTGAAGTAAAAGACAATTTGTACCCCTTAAACTTCATACCATTCAAAAAGATGTACAATGTTTGGTGGTCCTATTTTTATTTTGGAGGTTATATATGTCCCATTTACGTATACTACTCCAACTTATTTACCTATAAAGTTGCCAGTTTTCAGTAGAGCCAAAGAAAGAGGAAATACAAGCTGGTTTCAACCCTTGGGATTCACAACCTAGTAAATCCAATACTGGTCTGTCTTTGGCACATAGGGATACTATATGGAGCCTCTGGTAAGCACTAATGGGAGAATCACAGAGTTGAGACATAGGCTTTAAAGCAAAGCCATGCCCTTTTCTGCAATGATATGATCTTTTTGAGAAACAGCTTTTGGACTGATATTGGGTCATGAAACTGAACATCTTACAATGAGTTACTTAAGAGATCTTGTGATTTATAATGCCCATTAAGAACTGGATGTTAACTAACCTACTAGTCTTTAAAGTGGAGCATGCCCAGTAGCATTCTGTCAAGTAGAAGTGGTATCCATTCCATCATCCAGTGGAAGACAGGTTCAAGCAGTTTCTGAAGGTTCCAGTAATTTCATGAACAAGTACTCAGACTCCTTGGTGCTTACTTGTGCTGCATTGACTCCTCCCCTTCAACCCACATGTATGGTCTCATGAAAGAAAGAATTTAGGCTTGACGTATAGTTGGTTCTTCATGATATTTGGCAAAAACTAGAAGAAACTACTATAAAACTATAGCCCACTCCAGAATTGCCTTGAAGGACAGCAGGAAAGAGAAATCCTCCAAATGGGCAGAACTTGAAATAGTTCATTTGCAAAGACAGATGTCCAGAGATATAAATCTCACTGACTATGTGATAGTGGTTAATGGTTTGTGGATAACACATTGTTCCAAAACAAGACTGGAAGATCAGTGATAAGGAGAGAGATTGCTTGGACCTCTTATAATGGCACAAAATGAAAAAATATGAGTTTTCCATGTGAACATTCGCCAAAGAGCACCGACTGCAGATGAGGGACCCAATAATCAAGTGGACAAGACTACAACCAGAATCAGTCCCCAAACACCTCAGTACTTACTCAGTGAGCTCATGTTTAAAATGGACAAGGAGTTAAATACAGGCTTAACAGTGTGAGACTATCCTCATTCTAGTTTTTGGCTCTGTTGATTCAGAGAATTTAATTCCAAAGAAAGGAATGCTTCTTTCAGGAAATAAAATGATCCCAGCTAGGGCTGTCACCTGGACATATGGGGCTCTTCATGCCATTAAACCAACAAGCAAAAAAGAGTGTTACTTTACCAGCTGAGGCCATTGATGCTAATTATAAACAGAAAATAGGTTTACAGCTTCACATTGTCCACATTACTTCCATGTCTAGTGGCTAAAATGTAATGGAAAACTATAGTAATCCTATACAGACAGGGCCAGTAAGAGCTCAGACCCTCCAGAACTGGAGGTTTGGGTCATCCCACTACTGGTAGAGAATCATGACCAGCTAAGGTTCTGGCTGAGGAAAAAGAGAACAAGATATAGGTAGTAGATTAGGGAGATTATAAATACAAGTTATAGGGCAATGACGAGTTGCAGAAACATACATGAAGTTCCTATGTATGCTTTTCCATGTTTTGTTGTGTGTATACTTTATCAACCTATTTTCCCTTTCTCCTTTCTGTATTACTTTAAGGTATGTTGGGGATAGTTACCATTATAAATTAATGCACTGTGTACAGAATATCAAAGGGGGATTATAACTGAACTAGAAGTGTCATTCATAAATATAAGAATTGATGAGAATTTGATTGTCCCATTCCAGGGGAAACGGTGGGTTATGCTTCTTTTGTATATGCAATTTTTACATTACATTAGAAGGAAGCAGGCTATTTTTATTGCTGTTATTTGTAAACTTGAATATAGATAGAATGCTCTATATGGTTGCTGAGAAGCCAGAGAAATAGACTGCTTGTTTTTCTTTATCGAAAATGCATTTCCACCCCCTTCTTTCTCTTCTCTATATGACAAATACTGGCGAGTCTTGGAACTGTATTTCTCAGACCCCATTTCCTCCAGGAACCTGAATGCAATTTACAGCCAGCCACATATACATTCATACAATATTTGTTAGGCAGAAGAGAGGCAAAAGCCATTTCTTTCTTCCCCTGATAGCAGTGGGCAGATGTGTGGGATGAGGCAGATGGGAAGCATTGTAACAACAGGTGTTCCACTGTTAGTCACTCGCGTCCATGCAACAAAACAGCAATGACAATTGGTAGCTAGTTCCTGTAATTTCCTGACCTGTGTGATAATCACAACTTACTTCTTTTCAGAACCATAGCAACAACACAAATCTGGCAGCCAGTGGCAGCTTCCTTTGACTTCTTCACAAAGAATCTACTGAATCTTTGCTCACAAAGAATTAAATGTAAGTAATTTGAACTAATAAGAGTTTCAATAGCTTATTCCTTTGCAATAAGCAATGATCACTTAGAATGAGAAAAATTTTATTCATAATAGCAACATAACACTTGAGAATAATATTAACACTAAATATTCAAAATTTATAGTATAAAAAACAAGGCTTATTAAAAAACCTAAATATAGTAAAAATGATCACTTCTGCACAATATAATGTATAGGTTTAATTGAAGTCTAATAAAAATCCAACAGTAATTAGAACTTTAAAAAATATGTCTGTTTTATTTACTTATTTATTTATTGAGAAAGCAAGCCCAAACGAGGGAGAGGGGCTGAAAGAGAGGGAGAGAGAATCTTAAGCAGGAGCCTGATGCAGGGCTCTATCCCATGACCCTGGGATCACGAGGTTAAAGTATGTCTAAGTTTTAGTTGGAAATAATAAACAAGAATCGTTAGGACTGTTTTAAACATAAAGAGTGATGACAGTAGAACTTTAAAACTTACAATGCTGGGGAGCCTGAGTGGCTCCGTCAGTTAAGCACTCGATTTGGCTCAGGTCATGATCTCACGGTTCATGAATTCAAGCCCCACATCATACTCTGTGCTGGCACTGTGGAGCCTGCTTGGGATTCTCTCTCACGTGTCTCTCTCTCTCTGTCTCTACTCTGCTTGCTTGCTCTTTCAAAATAAATAACCTTAAAAAAATTTTTTTAATAAAATATTACAACAATGCAAGGGGTGCCTGGGTGGCTCAGTTGTTTGAGTGTCCAACTTTTGATTTCTGGTCAGGTGTTGTTCCAAGATCATGGGATCGTGCCCTGCATCAGTCTCTGTGCTGAGTATGGAGCCTGCTTCAGATACTATCTTTCCCTCTGCCCCTTTCCCTTACTCACTTTCTCTCTCTCTCTCTCAAAACAAAAACAAAAACAAAAACAAAAACAAAAACAAAAAACAACGTGAGGCACCTGGCTGGCTCAGTCAGTAGATCATGTGCTTTCAATCTTGGGGTCTTGAGATCAAGACCTTGGGCATAAGGCCTACTTGAAAAATAAAGAAATAAAAATTACAACAATGTGATACACACAAGAATCCTGATTCAGTTCTGGCTCAAAACACTAGCTATACAAGATAAAACTGAGTATTACATGGCATGAAGGAATTTTTGTTAACTATCTTAGACATGATAATGATTATGTAGGACAATGTTCTTATACTTAGGAGATATATATAAAGTATTCAGGGAGGGGGTTATGACGTCTGGGTCTTATTTTGAAGTGGTACAGAAATTTAAAAGACAGTCATTTTGTTAGAAGATGGAGGAGGGACAATGAAGTATCCTCCATTTTATGGAGTTTATTCACAATAACTTACAGATAGGATGGGGGAGGAGGAAGGTGGGAAAGAAGAGGAGATTTGGCAGGCAATGGTCCAGGCACTAAAAAGCTATTCTCCACCCAGTTTGGACTTTAACCTACAGCTTTTATAGAGCAAGGGGCATGTGGTGGGGTGAAAGGGTAGTTATCTAAAGTGGATACTTTCTGGACACCACCCACCTACAAGTTATCTAAAGTGGAGCCTTCTGTGTGCCACTTTAGGGAATATCAGAACAAGCCTTCCTATATTCTGATCAGGGCATACATTAAGCTCCATAGGGCCTGGAACATACAGCCCTGAGGAAGATCATTGCACAGGCATGAACAACATGGAGGGCCAAAGATGGAGTCAGTGTTGTCAGCACTCCTAGACTTCACCCTCAACATCTCTATGGCTGGTACAATCTTTATACGCCATTCTTCCATGATGACCCTATAGCCAGATATCGGGAGGTGACTTATGTCCCTATGCCACAGCAGCAATATTAATATACCTATCACACCAAAGAAAATACTTAGAATTATGATTCCTCAGAGGGTAAAGAAGCCCATTCCATAGACTCAACAGTTGGAGTGATCGTGAACTTCAGTGTAAGTGGAGGCCCATGACAGAAAGATGTTTCCTGATGTGACAGAAAGAAACATCAGTAATAGGAGGCCAGGGGCAAGAAGACAAATGTTTTATAGGCAATGGATATGGTAAATCTTCATTTAGTAAGAACACAGTTGTTTGGTCCCCAAGAGTCAATACTAACTCTGGCTTCGGTATTTTCCCTGGAGGATGATACCGTATATTTTGTCCCTTAGTATCATCAGAGGGTGTGTCTATATTGTGCATAGGCATCTCAGTTGGTCCCCATACCAACAACTCTACCTCAGTACCAAGCGTCAGAGATTCAGAAGCAGTTATTTGCATGTGTGTCGGGCCTTGACCAATGTAGAACCAGAGGTTAAGAATAATACTGGGGGCGGGGCGCCTGGGTGGCGCAGTCGGTTAAGCGTCCGACTTCAACCAGGTCACGATCTCGCGGTCCGTGAGTTCGAGCCCCGCATCAGGCTCTGGGCTGATGGCTCAGAGCCTGGAGCCTGTTTCCGATTCTGTGTCTCCCTCTCTCTCTGCCCCTCCCCCGTTCATGCTCTGTCTCTCTCTGTCCCAAAAATAA